CATACGATTTCGAAATAGTTTCAGATTCGCGAATCATTTTTGTAAGTTTTAATCAGTAAGCTTGCGTATCAGGTTTAATGAAATTTCTAAAATGATTAACAGAAAGGTGGGAAAAGTCATGTCTCCCCGACCCAAATGTTACGTTTAATTTGCCCAACATTATATTTATGTTTGCACAAAATAAATTGGGTCCACCAATCTTTAGAGGGGACTTATCTAGCTTCCAGCAGCAAATTTTTCGTACTATCTCACCCAGCTTCGTCGACTAAGCTTGAAGTCATTCGACATGACAGAAACGCAACATATCCATCGAGATCCCCGCTAACTTCAAGTTTTTCATTGTTTTTCGATATAAATTGTTCTACAGTTATTTTCGCTTCATTTATAATCTCGAAAAGGTTCCATTCTTCAACTGAACTGCGAATTATTTGCTTTTTTCTCTCTCTTTGGATATTCCGAACACCCTCCGAAATGAATCGAGAGTGACTGCGAACACTATCATTCCAAAAATTAGAAACTTGCTCATCCGTAAACAAATGGTTATCTCTATCATTAAACCTGAGAAAACACACATCATACTTAGAATTTTTCAAACCGGAAGTTACCAAAAATCTATTACGGCTGGTTGCCCTTGAGATTTCTGTCCATAATTTCCACTATTTGTTAAGACATCTTCTAAACTTAATATGTATTCCAAGAAAAAAATTTTAAACATAGCCTCATAATTTGTTGTCGCGCGTGTTAGGTCCTTAGCCAGTGTGAATTCAACACTCTTGGTAGCTATATACATGGCTTTTTTGTTACTCGAATGTTGAGGAAGGATGTAGTGAACTTCACCCCCAAGTTTGAGCAACGCAGAAAGCTACAGAAAAAAGTTTTGAGAACAATCAGAGAAGAAATACCTCATAATTAAACATTTCTTGTATGAATGGAGGCTTCATACTGACATATCGATTAGCGACTGAAATCGATGAAGGTCGCGGCCCTCTCTGATGTGATTTGATGTAAAATCGAGAAGCCATCCCACAAAAGTCGATGTCGGCAATAATACCAACAGACATCCCTCCTGTTTTCTCTGAAAATCAATTTTTAGTCGGTTTTTTTTTCGTCGTGCTCGAAAACAGTAAACAGTTATTACCTGTGAAGTCGATGGAGAAGTCCGCCTGATCTCCGGAATGAAGAATCGAAAAGTGATCTCGGACAGTTCCTAAACAAATTACATCAAGTTAGATGATATAGGTAAATTCATACTCTTTATCATTACAAGATCTGCTTCTAAAAACGCTGTGACTTTTTTAATGTTTTCTAACCATGTCTTGTATAAATCCCCAGTATTGTAGTTATTAGTAACTAACTGGTCGGAGAGGTTCAGAGCTGTTCTGGATGCTTGAACTTTGTGGTTTCGACTTCCATGTCTTCCCGTTCCTACTCTTGCTGCTTCAATGAAGCTTTTCCAGACAAGAGACAAATTTTGGTGTTCCATTCTATCAGTTAGTTTCAGAATCTGAAGTGAGAACTACTTTATACCTACATATATATATATAATTGCATGTAAATTTGGGTATAAAGAACACAATGATCCATATGAACAAAGAGGTAATGACGCTTAAGATGACAAGATTGAGACAAGCCAGTTGCTGTACATTTGTATATATCTGTC